CCTCCAATGTGCATTTACTCCATAACTTATAGCAGCGATTTTCAACTGGTGAGCCACAAGGATGTTTAAAACACACGATACCTGACTCTTCAGTCAGGGACACTGACCTCTTTTCCCTTTGATTGTCAAATAAAACATGACAACAGCTAATGCATCATAACCATCTGGTGTGAATTAATCAAAATTATACCATTTTTTTTGTCAGATCAACAAAAAATATATTTTGGGTGTGCCACAGATTTTTAGTAATTAGCTTGTGTGCCACGAGATGAAAAGGTTGACATTGCTGATTCGCAGAACTGTGGAGATCACGAGCGTGGTCTCAGCTCTCCCAGGGACCCGCGCTGCTCACGCCTTCAGTTAGGCTGCCGAGAGCGCCTCCCGGTCACAGGACCAGCGCTCAGCGTGAGGGCCTGGGGAGAAGACAGGAGGCCCCACACCACTCCTGGAGTTGCAGACAGCTGAGGTCTTGGGAGAGGGGACCTGTGGGACTCGGGGTGAGGAGGAAATGGATCCCGTGCCACTGGAGAGGGAGAGGGCTCCAGAGGGCCTGGGCCTTCTGCTGGTTTCTCCCTGGCATTTGTGATTTAAGTCTTGGTCTCAAACCGTCCCCTTTCCAGCCCTGAAGTCAGCCAGTTTCTCTCTCCACTGGCCTCCTGTTGTTTCTAATCAGCATTTCTGTGGCTGTCTGAGAAACCCATCAGTCCCCCTCCTCCGTCAGCCTGTTCCTGTCACTGACGCGAAAACACAGTGGCACTAGGAAATAATATGTCTTAAAGCTCAGTGACATGAGATACAGCATCTGAAACAGACAATGGGCGCAGTAAATTCCAGCAAGGTAGTAATTGAGGACTGTGATTTCCGGTGTTTAAAAAACTTCAGAAAACCACAAAGAAATATTATGTAGCCCTAAAAAAGAAATCCTGTCACAGGATGCACCATGGATGCGGTTGAGGGTGTTACACAAAGTTCACCACTAAAGGACAAGTACCATATGATTTCTAAAGTACTCAACATCTCCATATGAAGTAAAGTAGTCAAAGTCCTTGAAACAGAAAGCAGAAGTAACAGGTGGTCGCCAAGGGCTGTGGGAGGGCAGAGGGAACCCTATGTATTTACCACAGCCAAGACAAAGCAACAATGTCGGTGTCCATCAGTGGATGAATGGATCGAGAACATGTGAGATACACATACAGTGGAATACTATTCAGCCATAAAAAGAATGAAATCCTGCCATTTGTGAGAATGTGGATAGACCTTAAGGACATTATGTTAAGTGAAATAAAAATACCATATGATCTCACTTATACGTGGAATCTGAAACAAGCAAACACACAGGAAAACAAACTCACAGATACAGAGAGAGAAAAGATTGTAGGTTGCCAGAGGTAGGGGGTGGGTAAAATAGGCAAAATTGGTCATAAGGTACAAAATTCCTATTATAAGTCCTGGGGATATAATATAATCTTTATTATAGTTAACAATACTGTTCTGTGTATTTGAAAGTTGCCAAGAGAGTAATCTTAACAGGTCTCATCACAAGAAAAAAAAACACAAAACTCGTAACTGTGGTGATGGATGTTAACTAGATCTACTGTGGCAATCATTTCGCAATATATACAAATATTGAAGCATTATGTTCAATACCTGCAACTAATAAAATGTTATATGTCAATTATATCTCAATTGTCAAAAGCATATATAAACACAAACTCACATATACATACACAGATATATACATATACTACATACATATATATACACATATAAATGTACATACGCATTAAAATCATTTCACTCCTCTGGGCATTTCTTCATTCATATTTTAATTTCTCCAAAGTAATGAAACACAAGATTAGGTAAGAAGAGCAACTATGAAGGATGAGTAAACGTAAATGTTCAATTTTATGAACAGGTTAAAATCTCATCATGGAATCATGGGCATCTTCATGACTAGTAATATTTTCTTTATGGACAATTTTCTCCTCCATTCTTTTCTTCCGACCAGATTCTTAGGAAAGGCTATTCCCTACATTCTCCTCTTTGGTTCTTCCTGCCTGATGAATAAGTGTGTCTCCTGGACACGGAGCCTTGCTACTCGGGTGTGCTCTGTGGACCAGCTTTGGCGCAGCGGAAAGAGTAGCAGAACCGTATCCCCCCCCCCCGCCCCCCCTCACACCCCCCCCCCCGGCAGGCTGGTGCGGGGTGGAGGGGGGGGAGCACCGGACTTCTCTCCGGAAGAAGCTACTACCGCTGCCTAAGAGAAACTGTTTTCAAATACAAGTATTTCCATAAAAACATCTTTTATTGCTTTCTAGCTAAACTGACTACTAAAAGTTAAACGGAAATTATAACCGATTCCTGTGTTTTCGATTCCTTTCGGTCACTGGGAAGAGTTAGAAAGGGTGACTGTGCTTGGTGCCTGGCTGCAAAACCTACTTGAAGAGGAGATAACGAGAACCAAACCGAGAACCTTCTTCCTTCTCTACCCACAAGGGTGCCCGGCAGTGAGAGCTGTTCAGAGGAGAGACTTACTGGCACCCCCAAGAACAAGGATGGAAGGGAAGCTTGACTGTCCTCTGGGTTAAGGTATGAAATCAAGACAGGAGAGTGAAGGCGCAAAACCCTTGAAGAGACTAAACAGCTCCCGGCTTCTGAGACCAGACGGCACCCAGATTAAGTATATTCACATATCTAAAGAAGAAATGCATCCGTCTCTAGGGGCAGTTGGTCAGCCAAGAAGTCTTAGAAAAGGAGAGTTTTGGGAGCAAACACCGGAGATGTCCCTCCAAGCAGTAAGGAGAACACTTTGCAAGCTGTCTCTGGTGCGATAAAGAAAAGCCGAGTTGGCCATTGTGATGTTCAGGCACGACGGTGCTACTGGAGGTGCGCAGCTTTCTGAGATGGACTGCGCTGCTGAACAACGAGACGGAGGTGTTACGCTACGGAAGCTCTGAAACTCCTTTAGCTGACCTTGCTTGGATCCTCACGCCCCGTACCAGCTTGCCAGCACAGTCCAGCCCCTCACATGCCAGGTATGCCTGAAGACAAGCCCCTCTCGGGCTCTCTGTAACTTACTGAATCAGCATCCTGGCTATGTGTGTATTTCCTATGACCTGGGTGGACAGAAATAAATCCTGGGAGATAGAACCACTCTCCCAGTGTGCTGACAACTGGCGAAGGCACCAACATGCTGCTGCCCGAAGCCTCTGAGGAGTGGCCGCCAGCCCGGCCAGCCCGGGCTCCCCACGCTCCACTCGGTGTGCGTTCGGTGATGTCCGTTGAAACGTCCCATCAGCCCGGGCCACAGACATCAGTTCATGCTTATTTCCTAAGATGTTTTATTGCGAACATGGAATTTCTCTATTCAGCATCATTATTAATCAAAGACATACACATTTAAAAATTAGCAGAGAAAGAAAAATTGGCACAGGGTATAAACAAAAAGCATTCTCATATACTGCTGGTGAGAGTATAAATTGGAAATACACCAAACATCTTGGAAGTATGTATTTACCTTTGACCCCAAAATATTACTTCTAGGAATGTATCTTTACCTATTAATTAAGGATACGAACAAAGATTTAACTGCAATAATGTCTCCCAGAGCAGTCAGTTCATAGTTGATAAAACTTGGAAATCACAAATATTCAAGAGTTGAAATGGGTTAAATACATATCCGTAATGCAATAACACTGACATGTGTAACATGTTACCGAAGTACATTTACTAACCAGGAAAGACCTTCAAAATGTATTTTTATTTTCTTCTTTTTATTTAGTTACATTTTCTAACGTGTTTTAATGAACACTTATTATCTTATATAGCCCTGGCTCTGAATCATATCCAGGTGTGGAAAGGAAGAGAACACATATCCTGATCCAAGCCGTGTGTGTGTGTGTGTGTGTGTGTGTGTGTTACATGCCACTGAATTGGCTCCAACTCTTGACCACCCTATGAATGAGTGGGTCCATGTGCTGTTCTCAACAGCCCTGCTCAGCTCCTATAGACAGATGCCCGTGGCGTCTCTCATGGAGTCAGCCCATCTCATGTTTTCCTATTTGTTTTTCCTCTTTTCCTGCTGCCTTCTCTTTCAAAGGTGCCTCAGCAGGTATAAATGGTTTATCTGAGGTCACGCAGCCGAGTGGTGTATCACTGGTTCTGCAGATCCTTCAGCCCAGATGTGTCCAATCATTCCCACAGCCTTCAAATTAGAGCAGAACCTTGTCTCTCTCTATGCTGCTCAACACCAGTGTCTCAGCTCAAAAAGCAAAGGTGCCCCTCCAGTCATGTGCTGAGCCAAAAGATTTGAATAAAATCATTTTTAAGATCTCTCTTCTGCATGTGCCATGCGCGATGGTAAGAAACCTCAACTGCAAAACTGCATCCCGCGTGATCATCTAGGACTTTCTAAAGTGCATTATCAAATATCAAACCTCTCTCGAGGCATCTCAGAGTAAATTGGTGACATGGGGAGGGGAGGGAAGAGAGAAAGTGGCAATGGAAAAAGGTCTACTTTGTGACCCAGACTTATATCATTTGTTACTGTGAAAGCTCCGCTCCTTTTAATGACCCTCACCATTCTATTCACCAGCGCAGAACACGCTGGCCTCTCAGAAGTCGCCTCAGGACTCTGGTCAGCGGCTGCGGAAAGTTCTGTCTCTGTTCTTGTCTGCGATCCAAATCTAATGACTCCTTGACCCATTTCCAAAGAGACACGTATTGAAGAACCGTGATTAACATTACTACATCCGGCCTCAAGGCATCTTTCCATAACATCTGTTTTCTCCTCCAGAGACCTCATTTGGAGATTGGTGATAGGACAGAGGGGCAGAGTAAATGCTTCCCTCCTTACGCAGACCCAGAAAGCAGCCGCCGACAGTGAAAGGAAATAATGTGAGCTGCCCCATCTCCCCAGGCCTCCACCTCTGCTGCCACGGACAGATTCAAACCAGAATGGGAAAAATAAGTGACCCTCATATGATGAAGGTCTTACTTACGGACACACATTTCCCTGCTTTCATAGAATCCAGGACAACACTGGGATTTGCGCCTGTACATAGTTTTCTCCCCATGTCGATAGGCTGTCCGATAACTGATTCTAGATCGAGGGAAAAAGCACACTGTCACCTCTTTTGACCTGCAATTTGACTAGAAATAAAGAATTTATATTTTAATACAAAGGGCTGTTGAATATAATAAAGGTATTAAAAGCAAAGAACTCCAAAATAAGTAAGAAGAAACATGAAATCTCTCTCGATCAATATTATGCCCAGTTCTTACCAATTTGCTAAGACTATATGAAGATTGCCCATTTAAGCCAAACTATTCTTCATTTCAAGGGGACAGAAGTTTCATGACTTCCCTATTTCACTTATTTTGAGATATCTTGAAAAGTATTGATTAATTTCATATAAGATAATTATGTAATCATCATTCACTTACATTTGTTTGAAAGGAAGAAGTCAGAGAATTCCTTTACAACTCTGACAATGCAATCTCGTTGCACTATAAAATACAGGGTGGGGCAAAAGTCGGCTTACCATTGTTTGTATGGAAAATAATGCAATAATTAATAAATAATAATTTCTGTGTACGCACAACTGCAACCAACTTTTGCCCGCACTGCAGAAGGTTTCCAGCTTTAAAAAAACAAACAAACCTTAAATCTGACTAATGCTCCATTCACTCACTGATTCATTTATATAACACACGTTTAATAAGCATTTACTATATTCCAGACACCAGAGAAATAGCTCACAGTGAACAAAACAAAAGCAAAAACCATAAAGCCTGCCCTCAAGGAACTTACATTCTACTGGGGAACTTACATTCTTCTGTAGCATTTAAGGGAAGATATACATTGATCAAATAAATATATCCTATAATAACTGACAATGATTCAATATTGTGAAGAAAAATAAAGCCCAAGTAAGGGGGTAGAGGGGGATGCTCATTTGGACACAGCAGTCGGTTAGCAGCCTGAAGGAATGACACTGAGCACAGCATCCCTCAGGGCAGCACACATGGGCAGGTCACGCTAGACCCATGACTCATACTATAATCAGTATGTTACAAATGACACTAAAGTCGCACAGGCCCCTCTCCAGTAACATTAATACTTAATAAAATAGTGTTTTGGTTTCTGTTTTCACATTTATTTTACTTATGTTGAGGTCAAATATAAGTTAGCCTAACTTGAGTCGAATGTCCAAGTAGAAATTCAGGCTGGGAGATGAGTTTCTTGGTATCTGGTGATGTCCGTATTTCAGAGCGTCTCCCCCAATTAGGCACGATACAAAAGCTGGGTGAGTTCTTGCTAAACAAACAATGGTAACCAGTAGACATTTTCTCTGGAAGCTCCTTAAGGGCAAAGACAACCTTCTTGCTTTTCACTGTCGCCTGTGATTTGAAACAAGGCTAGGACGACAGCGAGCCCTCAGTAACGGTTCACTAGATGAATGGATCCGCCTGCTCAGGTATGCAGTGGCTGTTACCAAACTCCTCCCCAGCTAGCCAAACTCGAAAATACATCCGCGCTCTCATTACCTGTGCCGTGTACACTTAAACCAGTTCAGGATGTCAGTGCAGCTGGTGTAGTAAACTTGATCAAAGGGGTGAGGGTACGACTCCTGCACAGTGACTGAGTAGCTGAAAGAAGAGGAGTGATAAGGAGTCAGTGTTTCTGTCTTACACTAATAATATACTATGTAAAAAAAACACAGTCATTGGCTGAATTATCTCCATTTGCAACTCCACACTGACGTAACAGAGAATCTCCATGTTTTCACAGGTTTTTATTTGAACCAGAACCCCAAAAGGACCAATAGTAATAATATATTTAAAAGACAAGAGTTCATGCTATAAATTTCAAAAGAAATTCTCTTTTGCTATTCACCATACACTTTGATATCCCTAAATTTAAAAACATATCACCATGTCTGGCCAGTGTGGCTCAGTGGTTGAGTGTCAACCCATGCACCAAGATGTTGCCAGTTTGATTCCCGGTCAGGGCACATGCCTAGGTTGTGGGCCCAATTCCCAGTGGGGGGCATGCAGGAGGGGGCCAATCGATGTTCTCTCTCATCAATGTTTCTTTCTCTCTCTCCCTCTCCCTTCCTCTCTCTCTAAAGGAAAAAAAATTATTAAAAACAGAAAAGAAATATCACCATGTGTTTTTCTGTATTTAATTCTATCCTCCCACCCCAGGGGTCTAGGAATAACCAAAACCTTTCACGAAAAAGTTTTCAGTCTAAGTCTGCATGCAAATAATAAGGATAATCAGTGAAGAGGCCATTTGAGTACTAATAACAGAGTGTATTTTGCTACTGAATCTGAAACATCAGAAATAGCATATTTCCTGGGTTGAAACTTGGAATAATTTGTTTTTGTGTGCCTGCCCTACTTTGCAGTCAGTGGAAGAATATATACAACCTCTAAATAAAAACTACGAAGAAGTCTCTAAAACTGGTTCTAAACGTATGGCTGAGACAATTCGCCTAAAATAATCATACCAAACCTGGTGCTAGCCACGCAGCCTGTTTTCCAAAACATTTTCACTAACAGCTTGTTTTAAAAGCACTCCTATGGGCCTAAAAATGTGGGTGAAAAAAATCCATGAAATATAAAGAACTTTCCATGTTCAATCCCATACGTCTTCATTTTAAAGCAACCTATTACATGCTCGAGAGCTCTGAGTTCCTGCCTCCAGGAAAATCTAAAGCATCCTCCTTTCCAAACAATTTCTTTTCTTTTCCTTCACATTCTCTTAAAGATTTCCCCTACAATCTTTCGTCCACACTAACAAACAAAACGGACCGCAATCACGGATTCACTTGCTACACATCAAGAGCCCAAGTTCATGAAAAGGAACTGTCAGCTAGAGAAGGTACAGAAAGAGTGAGGTGGGAACTTCAGCATGAAGAATTCAGGTTCGATACAGGGCAGAACCTTCTCGTGTGAAAAGCTGTGTGGTACCGGCCTCACAAGCAGTGGGCTTTCTTTCCCCAGCTGGCCTGTTAGTCACTGTGTACTTAGGCTTCAACAGGACACCCATGAAATAATCATATTATTCACACTTTTGTGTTCATTCTTTGGACACTGCAACTTGATTACTAGGCAAATTTAGGGTTCCTCCACAAATCTTTGGCAGATGCAATAGACCCTACTGAGAGGATCACTGGATTAAAAGAAGCCAAGGTTATAATTATGATGTGAAACTGGAAAACTGAGTGACCTTCAACAGATATCCTCACTTCCCTACGTTTTGATTATGACATCTTAAAACCACAGGTCAGAGATGGTCTTGAAGCTCTCCTCCCACACAATTCTGAATTTCTAACACGCATTGCAGATAACTGTTCCCTTCTACTCTAATCCGTGGCACCTGCAGTCACCTGCAAGACCAGCTTCCGATGCGTGTAGAGCGTGCACTTGCCTCCATGTGCAATGTAACCCTTTAGGCCCAGCGGTTCTCAACGTGTGGGTTGCAACCCCTCTGGGGGTCAAACAACCCTTTCACAGGGGTCGCCTAAGACATAACAGGAGCAAAATTACAGTTATGAAGTAGCAACAAAAATAATTTTATGGTTGGGGGTCACCACAGCATGAGTTGCTGTATTAAAGGGTCGTGGCATTAGGAAGGTTGAGAACCATGGCTTTAGGGTAAAGCAAGAGGCCTCCATTGAAATATAAATGTCCTTGGAATAAAACTTCACATTAAGCTATTAGTATTTTTCTCAGACCCTTACCAGTGTCCTGAGGTCCAGGTTGATGCGGACTCTGAGACGTCCTTGCCAACTTTCTGTCCTTCCTATCCAGCTGCGTGTGAATAGCTACACTTTGAGACCTGCCGCATCATTTCTCCATTCCACTTCGAGTGAAGAGCAAAGCCACCAGACGGCCTCTGCGTACGACTGCTGCACAGGTGCAGTCCTACACGACCCACGAGCCAGACAGGGCACTTTCCCCACGTACCAGTGGAATGAGAAAGACACTACCCTAAATGAATGCCGCTGGGCAAAAACAAACAAACAAACAAAAAGCATTCTACTGGGCTCTACCACGCTAAGTTAGCTCCACAAAATTTGTTTGTTGGAACTAGACCTGGAGTAGTTTTCCTAAAATTTCCAAGGACATGGTGTGTTGTTAAGGTTTGAATGCCTTAGGGCAAATGTCATCCTCAACAGACAATCCTGGCCAAACACATCCCGGTTGATGTGGACGGGGAAACTGCTGTCACAAGCAAACATGAGAAATATTTTCACCAATTCCCAGGAGCCTGGAAGGGTGCTTGAGCAAGAGGAGATGTTCAAGCACAGGAATGTCCTCTCTTGCCACTGCTGCCCACCAGCAGTGCCATCTCAGGGTGCTTCTCCGGTTTGAGGATATAAGAAAAGGTCTTCTCTACGAAAGGGTAACCAAACCATTTAGGATTCCAACTCAATAAACACATATTGAACAAAGGCTATGCAATTCCTGCTCTCAAGAGCTCTCAAGAAAGGCCAGCTTGTAAACACTAAAAGTAATGTGATACGGCGTTAATGGAAGCATATGGACAGTTGGGGAAAACAGAATTTACATTCAGTATGTCCTGAGTGTTTCTCTGGGATCTTGACTCTTCGTATTAAAATTAGTCAGAGGCAGCTCGACCGGTGTGTCTCAGAGGTTGAGTGCTGACCCATGCTCCAAGAGGTCGCCGGTTCGATTCCTGGTCAGGGCACATGCCCAGGTTGTGGGCCTGATCCCCAGTGGGGGGCATGCAGGAGGCGGCCAATCGATGTTCTTTCTCATTGATGTTTCTGTCTCTCTCTCCCTCTATTCCTATGTCTCTCAAATCAATAAAGAAAAAAAAATTTTAATTAAAAAATAAAATAAAATTATTCAGAGGCCCAAACTCAATTCATAACTGACTGAATATGAATTACTATTCACACTGGTCGGAAACTGAGGTTTCCACTTAAGTTTACAGGAGAAGGATTTTAAACTTGTCCCTTCTGTGCTTTTATATACATTTTTCATTTTCTATACGATCTTTCTCTCTCTCTCTTTTTTTAATGGTATTATAGTCACACTGCAAAATTTGGAAAATAAGTTTTAGTAGAGAGAGAGAGATGAGGGAGTTCCATAACTCTCACATCACCATCAATAGCATTTTCCTGTACTTCTTCCCTCTCTAGGGATTTTTAGTTTTAGTTTAGCTTCTTTTTACATTCTTATAATCATGCTATGCACCTGAGTTGGAAACCTAGTTTTTTAAACTTAAGAGTACATAGCCTGGCCAGTGTGGCCCAGTGGATTGAGCATAGTCCCATGGACTGAGAGGTGCTGGTTCAAATCCCAGTCAGGGCACGTGCCCGGGTGGCGGGCTCCATCCCCAGTAGGGGGCGTGCAGGAGGTAGCTGATCGATGTTTCTATCTCTCTCTCTTCCTCTCTCTCTAAAAAGTCAATAAAAATATATTCTAAAACAATAATAAAAGTGAAAATAATAAACCTAAGAGTACATATCATACGCATTTTCCATGTTAGTAAATAGTCTTCAAATTCGGACTGCCAAATACTCCCCAAGTGACTACACCTCACGTACTCGGTACCCACCTACTGTTATACAACTCAACTGTCACTTTCCAGGGGCCCCTTTCTGGAAGCTGTGTGCTTGCACCAGGAAGGGAAATGTCCTCGATAACTGGCCCCCTCCCCTGGCCTTTACGGCTGCTTCTCGGCCAAGGCCCGGGCGCCGTGGGGATGAACAGCGCCCCTCACACCAGGCCGCACCTTCGCGTTCGCCAGCAGCCGCTCCCCAAGCGCAGAGCGGGACCGTCCAGTCCAGCGCCTCTCACCCGGCGAGCGGCGAGAATTTTAAAGCTGTGCCACACCTGACTGTTCAGTCAGGGGCACTGACCTCCTTTCCCTTAGATTGTCAAATTAAAAAAATGACAACAGCCAACACAACAATAGCTGTCGGGTATGAATGAATCAAAATTATACCTTTTTTTTTTGTCAGATGGGCAAAAAAAATATAACATTTTTTTGGTGTGCCGCAGAATTTTAGTAATTAGATTATGTGTTTCATGAGATGAAAAAGGCTGAAAATTGGTGATCTAGTCCAATGCTGTTTTCATCCCAAACGAGCAACACTGAGCCCCAGTGCTCCTGGGCAGCCTAGAGGCAGCACTAACCACCGCCCTGCCCTCCGTCTGCTCTCAGATGTCACTGGAACATCGGAAGCTTCCAAAGCAGAGAGTGAGGGGCACACTGTGTTAGGAAAGGAACCTGATCTCAATTCTGCACTATTTTAAGCACCCAGATGCCAAAACCTCTATCCCCTGCTTGTTTGTTTAACCTTCTCAACACACTGAAAACATATCATCACTGGGATTTTAACCTATTAAATATTATCCGGGGAGAGACTCCAGCAAGATTTAATTTAAGGTCAAAGAACAGGGGGAAATAAGCCATCATCACTTGGACACATTCCAAAGTGGTTAATTGCATTTTATCTGCTTAAATTACCTTGTTACTTTAATCAGATATGGTAATAATCATCATTTCTTATCTGCTTGCTTCGGGACTGCTGCTTCCATGGCTACCAGCTCTGTGTTCCCCCCCCAGGGGCTGGCTTCTCTTCATGTGGGCCTTCCTTAGAAGACACCCCAATAGAGGGAAGAGCTTAAACTCACAGAATGGGGAGAAGGGATGGGGAGAAGGAACAGATGAGTCATGGAATCATTCCCTTTCCAAAGGATGCTGTGCAGAATTTCTTTAATAACACACACCCTTTGTGCATGTTCAATGATTTAATTGTCCTTAATTTCACTTTGTGTAAAACTTCTGAGAATTAGAATTGCGGCATGAAAATGAGGCATACTTTTATTTTAAAATAAATCATTCATAGGTCTGGGGTGGGGCCCGAGACCCCATGTTTCCCACAAGTTCCCAAGGGATGCTCATGCCGCAACTTCACAGACCACACTCTGAGAAGCAAGTCTCCGGGTGATTCCATGGCTCGGAAACTTTGGGTACAGGTGGGCTTTAGGATCAGGAAAACCTACAATGAGTCTTCTTGAGCCCTACTACCAAGATTTCCATCCCTGAAGCTAATCATCCTCTCCCCATTTCAATGCAAGCTCATTTTAGCTTTTGACAATACACAAGAACTTGTCACCTGCACCTTTATTTGATCATTTTAATTCATGCTCTATTCTCCACACTTGTCAAAATAATTCCATTTTCTTTTTCTCTTCTTCAAAGAATCATCATGTAGCCTTGTATCGGGAAATCTATCAATAAGAAGATTGTATAGCTGCCAATCCTTCTCTCTAGTAGTCCACATAACACACAAAAATATATAGTCAGGAAAATAATCATCATTTCCCTATTTTTTCATGCTCAATTTCTGGCCTCACTAGTGAGTATGTTAGAGGTTACTCTAATTACTTGTGCAACAATGGAATTATATTACATTTAAACATGAATGTGCTCCTTGTCTTTCTCTCTCTCTTTCTCCCCTCCTCCCAACAGATGTCCATATTAATTATTTTGTTTCCTATTAGAAGGTGAAAGCACATTCAAGAATTATTTATTGAGCACATGCCATATACAAGGCAGTGTTTTAGACGTTTGGAATTATCAGTGGAGAACAAAACAATGCAAGTAAGTGCTGGCAAATTTGGTCAGATGCTGAACAAGGAATCGGGAGAAAACGTGTACTTGTGAGCGGGTGCTGGATTATCTCAAGCCTTGGATTCTTTTCTCTTTATAGCCTTTCCCTGGAGGGCCCATCAGTTCACACCTCATCACGCTCCCAAATCCACATCCCTACACACTTCCAGGCCCATATTTCAGACTGACCTCATGAAAACAACAGGGCAAACCACACTCATCTCTCCCCTCGCCAACCAGCTCTCTTATCCCTCCGTGTGCATTGACATCTCCCCTCTCACACAGCACGTTCCAAATCGCAGCCTTTTCTGCCTTCTTCACATCCTGGAGTCAACATCTGACCAAGACATGTTGATTTTTATTTCATGCTATCTTACAAATTTGTTTTTCCTCCCATTCCAAAGCGATTAATCCTCCAAGCAGTTCAACCACCAGTGGATTCTCCCTTTTCTAAATCTGATATCTACCCATTCAGCTCTTATTGGATTCATTTTTACTACTTTAATAAATATGATGTGCTTTATTGGTAAAATGTTTTATGAAAGGTGCTGCAATGATTATAAAGATAAAAAATAGGAGGTCTCCGCTCTTAAATTCCATGTAATAGAGTTAATACCACAAATATACAGAGCTTTATTACGTATACGTATTTCCGCACAGCTTAAAGTTTCATAGTGATATACAGATGCACTGATGAATCAGGGAAATCTATTTTTCTTGTCCGGACTGTACTACTGCCATGGAGATGGGAATGAGCCCTCACCAGAAGCAATGCTGGGTGAGGAACCAGGGTGCCCCTGGAGTAACAGAGCTGCTGTGCTTGGAAGGCTCTGGGCGTTGTGCACCTCACAGCGGGTGACAACAGTGGTCAGAATGTGTGCTCTGTGGAGTAGTGATCATGGTGCTGACGGTGATGGGAAAATGAGACCACAAGTTTGGTGTCATTGCACTTACAGATATTAAAAACATATATTACTCTCTAGTAATTGACAACTCCCATTTGTCTGAAAAACTTGCATTTGCAATGTTTTTGGATAGAGAGACTTTCTTAGCAATGCAAATGGCCCATCAGAGCAGAGTAGGCTGCACAGGACGGCACCGCACTGTCCCATGGCGTGGGCTATTTCTGTGTTCCAAAAGGGACTATGCGATCCCTGAGAATGGCCGATTGCACTTCCTCTGGATTTTCTACCGCAAATTGCCCAGATCTGGACAGGATATCATCTGCTCTCATATACTCTACTCAACCTTGCCCTCCTCCCATATACTGATGTCACTCTAGTCTCGTGGGGCATAGCCCTCAGAGGTAGCTGGCTTCAAGCTACCTTTCCTTCCTAGGACCCTCCCGATCACTGCCACCTGCTCATTTCACTTCTTCAAGGACATCTCAGGTGACACTACCTCCATGTAGCTTTGCAGATGCCTCAGCACAATCTTTGTATGCCATACATTTCAAGTACATTTTTACATACTGTTGTCCACTGCTCACTCATTGGTTTCTAGACAGAAGTCCAACTCTCCCAAATGACTGCAAATAGATTCAGAGCAAGGACCAGATCTTAGGAAGTTCATTTTAATTGGACTGTTCCTGTTTTCCCTGAGTCTTACAATTGCACCTACGTAAGAATCAATATGTCAAGTTTTCTTCACCTAATATATATTCCATAAGACCAAGGTGAATAATACTGTCTGATTCATTAGATACAACTAATGATTTTTACATGAAAGTAATTTTGCAATCTCTTGTCAGATTCTAATTTTATATATCAGACTGATAATGATGGCACATAAAGGAATTCACCAGAAATTATTTCTAAGATTACTTCCAGAACTATTACCTTTCCCAGTGGCTACACACATTTGGGTCTTCGAGGTTCAGGGGTGATGCTATCCTTATCCAGTGGCATAATAAACAGATCAAGCCCAGGCATGTGTTCAAAGAAATAACCATTTTTTTCTGAAGAACAACCTACAAGAGAAAAAAAATCCCAATTAGAGATGCATTAAAATGACCCAAACAGAACTCCTTTCAGTACAGCAACCATTCGGTACCAGTTGTCACCAGGGCTGAAACATGCATAACAAGCCATGGATTCAAATAGACGGGCCACCAGATTTCTCGGCCCAGGAGAGGTATTTCTTATGTTGTGTAGGGTGGCCGCCACGTTGTAAATTACTAAAACGTACGAATCGTCGTTGATTGCCACCCCCACAAGAGCCCCTTTCTTCAGGCCAGCTAACATTAGAGGGACCTACCCAAGCAGCTCAGAGCAGCACAGGCTTCCAGATTCTCTCACCAGACTTCTTTCCCTTCTGGAAGAAGAGGGCTCACAGGGGAATCTGGCCTCATTTGTCCCAGAGCATCAGTGATGGAACAGAAGCTCCATTGACTCAAGAGAGAAGCACCTCAGGCTCAAACTGAGGTTCATTCAGTAATCTTTTCAATGTACACTGATATCTCCTCTGTCCCAGGCACTGTGCAAGAACTGGACATAAAGTGCAGATCGAGTTTCTATCCCTGATCATGAAGATGTTTATAATTTAATAATGATGACATATCTTCCTCCCTCCCTTCCTTCCTTCCTTCCTTCCTTCCTTCCTTCCTTCCTTCCTTCCTTCCTTCCTTCCTTCCTTCCTTCCTTCCTTCCTTTTGTGGTACATGCCCCTAGCGGGAACTGAACCCGGGACTCTGGTCCGCAGGTTGACGCTCAACTACTGAGCCAAACTGGCCAGGGCTGACATACATTTCTTATATTGAGTGCTTCAGTTTTCCCATCTGCTGAATACAAACAAAACCACCCATTTTACAGAGGCTTCCTTAGGGGTGTTCAGAAAAAGAGTAAGGCTGTTTGGAGGCCAGTGTTAGAGAAAATGAACCTGGTGTCATTGAGAGGAAGAAACCATAGCGGAAAAGCAAATAGCAACATGGTATATTTGCAAACCAGGGCAGCAAAGGACAAAGAAGAGGGAGAAGGATGTTCCAGGCAGAGGGAACTGAAAGTGAGGAGGGTCGGGCACTTAGGGGGCTCAACTTAATTCAATGGGAGAAAGAGAGAGGCAGGAGGAATATCACAACAAGTTGTATCAGCCATTGCAAAGTAGGTGAGCGCCATCCACGGATAAGGCAGAGCTTGTGAAGGGAGCAGTGACAGCAGAGCGGTCCCTGGCTACAGCGGAGAGTGACCTGAAAGAGGAGACTGTGAGTGAGAGCAGGTGAGAGCTGACCGTGGGGAGAGCTAAGGAAGCAACACTGAGGATGCAGGGAACTGAGTGAATCAGGGACAGTTTTAGGAAGTAGAATCGCTAGAACTTGGTGACTGAATGGGAGGGTAAAAGAGAGAGAAGGAAGGAACTCTGGCAGAGCCCCTTGTGGGGAGCTGGGCCCCTCCTTGAGATGGAAGGCACAGAAGCCCCCCTCCTCTGGGGCATGAAACTTCAGTTCAGTTTTAGATATGTCAAGTTTGACGTTTCTATGAGATATTCAAATGAAGTCACCTTCGGGCATTTATTGAACACCTACTAAGTGCCAGGTCAGCTCCAGTGTGGAACAGCTGTGATGGCAGGCTGCTGGCAATCATACCCGTCTCTTCAGCTCCAAGGACTCGGCACTTAGTGTGAAGGAAAATTTTGTCATACTGTGTAAAATGATTTTATAGAATCATTATACGAGTGGACTTGAAATTAGAAATAGCTGATCCATTCACTAATTAAAAAAGAAAATGAGCAATAACTAATTAAAACTAAGAAAATAATTAAATTAAAATTAATTAAAATTAACCTGTCTGTTTGCAAACTAGTGAAACTAGCAACAACAGGCCAGATTATGTGACCCAAATAGTTATTTTCTGGGTGAAGCCTGGCATTTTGAGACTTTATACTAACTTTCCACACCATGAAGTTACCAGTTTTTAGTATTTGGGAAGCAAATTTATTGAATAGTAATCTTGTAGTTTAAAAAGGTAAACTTATCTTGAAACAAACATATAAACAACAATACCAATAAAAACCTAACCTTAGGAAATAGTTTATCTCTGAAATTCAAGAGAATAGATCAAATGAAGTATAACTTTTTCAAAATCAAGACTGTTTATAAGGACAAGTACATTAGGGAGATTATAACAAGTTATCTATTTCTAACCCCCAAAGGCTAAAACCAAAGAAAATGTTTGATTGGAAAGAAGAAAAACTATATCATTAATTTGGAGATAATTAAAAGGTTGTATAAGCCACTATGAGAGGTTATAAAATTTTTAGAGGGGATTTCAATCCTCATGAAGTAATTCTAACATATAAAGCATAAATGAGTAGCCAAAATATGGCTTATAAATTAATTCAAATTATCAATATTTCTCACAGGCTAACCTTCATAAAGTTGTGAAATCTGAAGCTTAATGTTATAATACAAAAGCTATTCCACCTATCAGGAATGAATATAAAGGAATGATGACAATAAACAATAACAGCTGACATTTTCTGACTGATTACTGTGAGCCAGACACAGCACTGAACCTTTTATGTGATTTATCTGTTTAATCCTCACAGTTACTTACCTAAGAAGTAGGTATTTTTATTTTCCCCATTTCACAATTGAAGATGAGTAAATACACTGCTAGAGTTTTCCTCCTCCATCAAAATAAGAAAACCTTTAATACATTTGATTTTAACAAATGAGCATGGCGAATCTCTGTCTTGTGGCTTTCTCTATGTATTTTGTTTCAATGAAGTGTGAAATGTGTGTATTAACTTTCATTCTTTCCTCAAAGACAAAACAAGGGCTGGTCAGCAATAATCTGCCATCTATTCACGAACAATTAGCCCAAATTGAAGAGTTTATATCCTGAGTCACCATCTCAGATTCAAACCATCCATTTCCCAGTTAGACATGTTTAGTCTGTAAAGTTAGAAATTGCTGCAAGCAATGAATCAAACTGAAGAGAGAGAGAGAACAAGGTGGTGTGTTCTTTTTTAATGCAAAAATTGTAGCACGAAGAAATCTTTTAGTATTACTTGTTTTGCACTTGACGCGTGGCTCTATGAAGGCTTTTATGTCTCTAAGGGGATGGCAGGGGGGGGAGCAGAATTTAGTCACCTCATTGCTTTCGAAATTCAGCGTACAGAAAAATCAAACTGCTTGCAAAGTTGCTGGCTGCATTCACGAAAAGGAAAATAGCAGTACATTTAAAAGATGTACACATGCTCCATTGGGTTTCTTATTCCCAAAGCATTTTCCAAATTAAAATTGGAAAATTAACTGAGTTCTAGAAAAATTTACATGAAAGTTTAAAATGTCAGGAACAAAGGGAATTACTAGACCCAGGGGCTGGGATCATGCAAACTCACAAAAACCGGTTGAGAAAATCATTCAAATGTTATATATATGGAGGCGTCGAGGTGCCTCTGGGCTCAGAAGAAACAAAGAGGTTGGGGCTCATTCTGAGGTGGCCTTTAGGCTCATAGGGGTCGAAGGTAGGGACAGGGGGACTCGAGGTCTAGAGGCTAAACATCCAAGAAGGTGTCCGCAGGATAACGCTTCCTCCGAACCTGGAGGAGCTTCGCATCCCAGGTAACCAGAGCAGAAGACTTCAGCTGCTCTTGTCTTCCTCCTAGGACTCCTGTCCCCCGCAGGACTCCTGTCCCCCCCAGGCCTGACTGGGGCGGTCAGCACCATTCAGTTGTTCTTGTCTGGGGCTGTCCTGGGCCAGCACGTCGGGCCATGGAACTGGAGGACCCCGAACCTGAGCCTGGACACATCTTCCCGTCCGAGCTGACGTCCCCCCCCGGATGCTGCTGCGGGGCCCACGTGGGTGTTCACCGCGAGGTCACCCACATCCAGGGGGGAATTTCAGCTGGCCACTGGCTGCGCCCGCGTCTGGGCTCCAGCGAGGAAGGCATTGCATCCAAACTGGGGCGACGCCCGCTGCTGCGCTCCCGCTCGCCGTGGCTGGGCTGCGTGGACGCGTTGGTGTAGACGCCCCCGCACTAGGGCACCACGTGCGTGACACTGTGGACGCCGATCCGCCTCGCCCTCGCCCTGCACGCAGCACGGTGAGCGCTGCAGCTGCACCTGCTCAGCCTGACCCTCCGCAAATAAACCCGAGTCCCATTAGCTGGGTGTCCGTGGACGTGGAGCTGACCATGGACTATGCTGGCCTCAGGCCCTCCGGAATGGGCTTCAGAAATGGTCGTTAAACTATTTTCCAAAGGTGAATAAACTGTAATATATACACGGTGAGAGAAGACAATTCACAAATATGCCATTGAACTGTGAAGAACTATAGAAATGCAGCATCTCGCCATGTTCAGCAACATGGATGGTTCTTCCTTTTGTTCTATCTAGTTAATAAAAGGCACTTGACAGACACTCCCAATAAGAAGTGGATAGGGCATATATTCTTTCCCGATTTTATTCGTTTTCTGCCATCGGTTTCCATGAGTAAATGTGGGTCCCTTTTCTCCTTTATGTCAGCCTGAAGGAAGAAAGTTCAATAATACATTTTTCTTCTTCATTTCTCTCTTTTAAGCTGGGTCATCGTGTCTTACACTATAATCTTCCACTTTGGAGTGCAACTGAAAACAAAATACCATCTCTAATAAAAAGCATTATTTCAATTTTTTTTAAAAGGTGACAGTGGAAAGTTGCTTTATTAAAACAGACATTTTGAAAATATTCAAAGCTCTAAATTGCATGTTAAGCTACTCCAACCACCCACCCAGTCTAGGATCTTCAAATAACTTTCCTTATGGTTCCTTTCAACAAAATTTAAAGTGTAAAAAAATAGTCATTTGCATGAACCCCCTACTGCCAAACTTGATTGCATTCCATATCATTCACTTAATTATTATGGAAAAATCAAAACAGAAAATCAGTACAACTGATTAGCATTGCTAAAGTGCTCCTATTAAAAAGAGGAAACACAGCAGGCAGAGTTAACTCTTGCTGCCTACTAGGAAGGCCGGCAGGCCTTGGTT